ACCAACCTTGTGGCCCTACAAGGTTGGTGGCCGGTTTGCAGGGGATGCCGTATGAGGCGAGACTGAGGGAACTGGGTCTCTTCAGCCTGGAGAGGAGGAGACTCAGAGGGGATCTGTTGGTGACATGCAGGTATGTGAGGGGGTGTCACACGGAGGTGGGGAGAGACCTGTTCTCCCCTGCAGAGGAAGGCAGGACGTGCTCCAATGGAGCAAAGCTCAGGGAACCCAGGTTCCATTTAGATGCCAGGAAGCACTTCCTGACAGTTGGGACCCCGAGGGTGTGGAATGGGTTTCCCCGGGAGGCGGTTGAGGCCCTGCCGGTGCGGGTGTTCAAGGGTAGGCTGGACATGCACATGGTGGGCATGTCGTGAGCAGAGCCAGCTAGAGCTGGGGGTCAGACTAGATGGCCCAGGAAGCCCCTTCTGGCTCACTCTGTTTCTATGTTTCTATATGGAGAAGCAGAAGGGTCTCGGATGAGGGTGTCCCTTCTTTCCCCATCTGTGTGGTCCACAGGCAGAAGATATTATAAGGAAAGCTTGTTTAGGTTCAGAGGAAAGAGGAGTGAAAATCGGAGGACAACACATCAATAATGTAAGATATGCAGATGATACTGTATACTGGCAGACGGCAACAAGGAATTGAGATGCCTCCTGATGAAAGTGGAAGAAGAAAGCACAAGAGCAGGACTGCTGCTGGGGGGAAAAACATGCCTACAGAAAAACTGCACAACTTTAATGTCAAAGATGAAGAAATGGAAATTGTGAAATAATTTCCTAACTCGGCTCAGTCATCAATTCGAAGGGAGTCTCCAGCAAAGGAGTAAGGAGAATGAGACTGAAATGGCAGCAATGAAGGAACTAGAAAAGATTGTAAAGAGGAGGATGTTTTACTGGACAACAAGGGCAATATTGTCCACAAGGTTGCAATCCTGGTGAGTATGGATGGCTGTGAACGCCAGACAGTGAAGAAATCTGACAAGAAGAAAAATGATGCATCCGAAACACGGTGCTGGAGGAAAGCTTTACGAAGACCCTCGACTGAGAGAACAACGAAGAAGAGGGCCCTATAGCAAATCAAGCCAGAAGTTTCCCTGGAAGCAAAAATGATGAAACGGAAGCTGCTGTACTTTGGCTACATCACGGGACAGCAAATGTTACTGGAGAAGTCTATAATAATGGGGAAATTCAAAGGCAGAAGAGGAACAGGAAAACCAAACCTGAGAGGGATCGATTCCATAAAAGAAGCCACAGCGAGAGTTGAGCTGGTTGAGAAGGACAGGTTTTGGCGCGCATTCCTCCATAGGGCCAGAAGTCAGAGATGCGTTGATGGCACACAGCAAGAACCCGCAGCTCCCCAACCACTCTGCTCCACTACTGATCCGTCCGCACATGGATGCACATAACGGTTGCTCATCCAGCTGTTGACCCACCTAACTGCAGTATTGCCCACAGCACATGTTACCATTTTGTCAACAATAACATCATGAGAAAACTTGTAAGATGTTTTGGTGGAATCAAGGTAAATTACTATGTGTACAGCATTCTCATAATCTACCAAACCAGTAACTCTCCTCAGCAATGGGAACAAGTTGGTTGGGGATGGCTCATTCCTGACAAACCTATTCTATGATGACTCCTAGTATTAAAGGCATTATTTTCTAGATGCCTGCAGATTGACTGCTTAGGCATGTGTTCAAAATTTTTGCCTGGTACTGATGTCAAGCTGTCATTTCCTGAATGTACCTTTCCCTCTTCTTGAAGACTGTTGTAATACTTGCCTCCAGTCTCCTAGCACCCCATCCAGAAGTCTCCAGAAGTTCTCAAAGGCTACAGTCAGCAGTCTTGAAATATCTTCTGCAAGTTCATTCATCACCTGGAGATGGCCTTTCATCTGGCCCGTGAGACTTGAACTCATTTAAATTAGCTAAATGTTCTCTCATCATGTCCTTACTTATTTTCAGATGCAAATTCCTCCATATATCATTTGCTCTACTTGTCCCAGGCTGAGCACAACTCACATCATGGGAGAAGACTGAGGCAAAATGAGAGCTGAACAGTTCTGACACCTCTCCATTATCTTCCCTAGGCAGCAAACCCAACCCTTCCGCAATCATTTTCTTAGTCCTGACAGAGGGGAAAAGATCACTTTTTACATTGTTTTTAGCATTCCTTCTCAGCCTCAACTCTTTCTGAGCTAACACCATGGGAACCAGCATGCTGGGTTGGGACAGTCAGAGAAACCATGGTGAAGTATGGAAACCATAGAACAGACCACTGTTTCTTATGGTCTTTCTCAAAACCAAACAGGCCATGCTGAAACACCACAGGAGAGTTCAGACAACACAACAGACCATCCAGTGCAAGCTGCCACCATTGCTTGCTGTGTTGTGCAAACCCACCCAGTGTCTTCCAGAGTGCAGGATGGTGTCCCATCTACAGGCGGCCCAAGGCTGCCTCCACCAGACGACATCACCTCCTTCTTGGTTTCATGTTCACGTTCCACATGGCCCTGAGTGTCCTCCTCAAAGTTCTGTGGAATGCACAGCACTCTCCCATCTACGGGTGGCCCAGGGTCGCCCTCTACGGGTCCCCTGTGTCATTGCAACCACTGCAGTAGCAGGGAAAGGCTCCTGATGTTCACATCTGCCACACTCTTCTGCCCTGCTACCTCTGGCCCTTGTGTTATTCCTGTCCCGTGGAACCTGGTCTTTGTTGCTCTTTTAGGAGGGCCCTCCAAGCTCTCATCTACAAGATTTTGACTCCCTCTGATTGGATGAAGGGTGCAGAGCTAATGAGAACAGCCAGGATCCTGGGGCACCTGGATCTGCTTCCCTTCCTCCTTCATCCTCCACCAGCATCCCAGGGAAAAGTGCAGGAGCCCAGGGGAAGGCAGGCATGATAGCCGAAGGTGGACCACTAGGCAGCTGTCATCAGCTTCCCTGCTCTGCGCACCTGCGAATGCTGCGCATGGTGGCAAGATGGAGAAGATGCCCCGAGAGTGTGTGTCCCTCGGCTGGTTTGTGGCAGGGCCCACAGGGGGAGGCCAAGCCAAAAGCGCCAACCCCGCTCCCACGGCCGCCATCATCACCTCGGTGCCACAGC